TCCTCTTGCTGCTTTTGCTGTTTTCCACTGCCATGAACTGTTGCCCTCTGCCATGCGCCTCCTTGCCTTGGATCCAGCTGATTATGTAGTGAAACCTCCACGAACAGTGAGCTGTATAGACCTTTCCCTCTTTAATTTTGGGCATTGGGTATTTTGTCTCAGCAACAAAAGTAACCAAGATGCCACCCACTATTAAAAGGAGTTAATGTAGTCTAAGTTAACAACAGATTCTTAGGCCAAACTGCTAGGTTCAAATCCTGGTCCTCTGAATTACTATCTCTGTCATTTGGACAAGTTTTTTAGCCTCCATATGGATACTTTAGTTTACTCATCTGTACATAAGATGATAAATTTGGGGGCTTAGTAAATCCATATATGCAAAGTGTTTAGAATGGTGTTAAAAGGGTTTATGTTAATATTATTTTAATTTACAGTTTTAGAAACTAGGTGTAGATATATTAGGGAAGTCTGGGTATAAGGTACATGGCCCTCTCTACTTTTGAATTTACTATGAGTTTGTAATTATTTCAAAAGAAAAAGTTAAAGAGTTCTTAAAAAGCAACTAAAAGCTTGTCAGGTGAGAAACATGAGATGTAGAATTGTGTGTAGTAAGCTCTATTTTGTGTAAAAAGATGGGAAGAATAAAAATACATATATTTGCTTATGTATGTAAAACAAAATGCTAGAAGAAAACATTAGAATTAACAGTAGCTACTTGGGAAATGGGTTTTATTTCTGAACCTAGTAACTCTGTTACATGTTCAAAAATTATTTAAAGGGCTGGGGATTTAGCTCAGCGGCAAAGCGCCTGCCTGGCAAGCGCAAGGTCGTGAGTTCGGTTTCCAGTACTGGAGAAAAACCAAAACCAAAAAAAAAAAAAATTATTTAAAAATAAATAGAAGCAGTAACAAAAAAGATCTGCACATACCACGTCTGCCATAGCATAAAATCATTTCTATTTGCAACAAGTCAAATAATACCAATTTGGCAGATTACAGGGTACATTAGTGTGATGATAAAGTCCTTAAAAGTACTTTTCCAGTGGTGCTATTTCTGTAATATTCAGAGTGTGACTCCTTAACTTCTGAGAGGGAGCTGAAGTACTCCTCCTCTTTGGTTTGAGCCAGTCAAGGTTTTCCGAGATGGCTTTATCTAAGATCTAGTGATCTTCTTAATTAAAGGCTTTGGAAAAGAGGAAGACAACTCAAAAACATCACTACCCAAGAATGGCTTCTCTAGGGTCAAGGAGGGACCTCTCAAACATCTTTTTAGTAAAGCATTCCAGTAAGTTATGCTTGCTGCTGTAATGAAAAAGCCTTTAGTCTGAGTGACATAATACAGTGATTTCTGCATGTATCACAGGCCACTGTGGACTGAGGACCACCTTGTCTCATAGGAATCCTGGCTGAAACAAGTTATACCATCTCCAGTGTATGCTTCCAGGTCAGCCTGCATGTTAAGAAGCACACAGGAGAACAGAGTAAGGAATCAAAACCAAACATTACAGTTAGAAGTAGTGGTTTTTCTGTTTCTCACCTGGAGCTCAATCACATGGTGCCACCTACCTCCTGGAGAAGCTGGGAAATGTAGGGTTTTTTTTTGTTTTGTTTTGTTTCTGGTACCAGAATCAAACTCACGACCTCACACTGGCCAGGCAGGCGCTGTGCTGCTGAGCTAAATCCCCAGCCCTGGAAATGTACTTTAACTGCAGAACTTTTAAACAATTTAACGACCACACAACACTGTTTCTGCCACAGCAGCTATTGCCATGGTGGCTTTTCTCCTTAAATGTTTTGAGATTTCCTGTTCATTACTGACTTCTATAGCCATTCCATGAACCGTGCTGAAGAGATACTATACTGTTCTCAATTACCAGGTAGGAAAATGAGCTCTGTTATGGTGTGTGTCTAGAGGTCTCCCCAAAGCCTCATGCAGTCATAGGTGGGGCTTTATTGGAGGCAGCAGAATTTTGAGTGTGTGACTGATTTCATGGTGCAATGCTAGGATTAAGGGCACTAGGATTAAGGGTGTGTGATTACTAAAGCAGTCCACTGATAGGCTTGGCATTACCCTAATCCCAGTAACTTGGATACAAAGTAAGGGACAGAATTTAAAAAAAAAAACTAACAGCCGGCTATTAACACTCCTAGATAGCTAACTAATTGGGTCAACTAGAGTAAGAAATACCCAACTACTTGGGTCAGCATAGCTCTCGTTGTGGCTGAAGGAGACAGGAGACTCACCCTGGACGTGAGTGGCACCACCCAACAGGCTGTCATCTGAATGGCTTAAATGGGAAACGAAGAAGGACCACTTCTGTTTCTTCGGAGGAGCTCCAGTCTTCACCTTCAGTTTGGACGTCATCTTCACCATCTCCTGGCCTCCAGCACAGACCCTTCGGCCTCCTGATGCAGGCTGGCACGAAACACTACACCGAGCTCCTGGCCTTTGATCGGATCCTTTGGATCTCCAGTGCATGGACAGCTCTTCCGCACTTTCCCATACCTGACTGTGGAGACCACTATAAGCTTTCCTTGTAAATTCTTATATATTTGTGTGTCTTGCGTTAAATCTGTTTCTCTAGTAAGCACTGCCTGATACACAGGCTAACAAAAAAAACAGGATCCATAGCACAGGTATGGAGTTAAGTGTTTATTAAACCACACTTTTAAATTATACATCCACCTACGGTCTGTAAACAATTACAGTACACATGTAAGGAAAAGCCCAGCAAATTAGAACTAGTGGAAAAATTAAAAGTTCCCTTTGCACACTGGTACCTTGCCACAATATCCTCCTTGGGCCAATACACAGGGCAATGTTATTGGTAAGATATATGCAAAAAACCAGCTCGAGTCCATTTCCTAGCATGGATTTCAAATAGGGATTTGTTCCACACTACAGTAGGGTAGATGACAGCAAGGCAACAGTGTAGCTTTGACATTCACAGATTGGCTTAGATACTAAGTTTCTAATCAAGGTATCTCCCTCCCTATTACCATAATTAGTAAGAAATATGAAATTAAAATAAATGACAGACCACAGGTGGTTATAAAAATAGATGACTCATACAGTAATAAATATCTACAATTAGTAGAGCATAAACTTATAAAATTTACCTTTTTCCATAATGTGCAGATTACTATAAAGTATGTTCAAGAGGTGCAGTCAGTAGACCTCAGAGTGGGAAGAGGGCATTTGTAAAGAAAAAACACTCAAGTACAAAACCCAGAGTAGGAAGCTGAATGTAGGTGAGAATACACAAAACACAGAAAGTCCTGGCTCCTCACAACACATTATCCTACTCAACAGACACACCACAATTAGCTCACAGCCCTTTTAATATCTTAAAAAGTAACTCTTTGTTACCTGTATACAAACTTTAAAAAAATTTATCAAGAGACAAGCAAAATTGATTAACAGGGCACTAAAACTGCTGAAACTCATAGAATTTTGTGCGCTTTCATACACTTCTGTGTATGGAGTTTTAAATGCCCTCAAAGTGTTTTAGACAGAGTTTTAAAATACCTGCAAGTATCTATTCTATAATCATTTCAGTTCTAGGAGAAAAAAATAGTATCAAACCAGGATGGGGAAGGGGAGGCAAAAAAATCTCACAAAGAAACTCATGATGAATATATACGTGACAGTTATATGTCCTTTTAATACTTACGGAATGCTATGCATGGTAACCGGAATGCTATTCTGAAACCAGTCTCATTTCAGAAGGTACAGTAATTCCCATTTAATTCTAGAATTACAAGCACTTACTCCACTTAATGTGCGTTTCAGCAAAGTTGGCATCTACATGGTTATGGACTTGCCCGTGTCACCTTAAAGCTTCATCAAAGATTCATGGCAGACCCATGCTGTAAAGTCCAGAACTAACAACATCACAGGTAGCCGTTCATCTTCACTTCTCACAGGGTCTACTTGAGTTGTCCAAATGTCACCTGCATTGACAGCAGTGTCCCTAAAACTTTGGCTCATTTAGTTTCCTTGCCAGGAGATCTCCAAGGTCTAACACATTTGGGACTTCGGTTAAACAACATCCTAACATACATTCTACACTTTCAAGAGGGGTGTGCACATTCAGCTTCTCTAAGTTACCTGACCTTTCAGGGGACTCTGGAACATTCACTGGAGCCCAGGACATTCTGGGTAGATGGTCTAAGGATGGCCATGTTAAAGTAAATTTTCTACAGTAGTGGTTCTCAAATCCTAGTGAGCATCAGAAATACACAGAAGGCAAGCTGAAACAGAGGTTTGGGGTGAGGCCTGGGAACCTGCTTTTTTCCTCTGGTGTTGGGAGTTGAATCCAGGGCCTCACTCATGTTAAGCAAGTGTTCTACCACTGAGATACACCCTCAGCCTTTTTAAAATTTTGAGACAGGGTTGTCTAGTTGTCTAGGCTGGACTTAAACTTGGGATCTTCCTGCCTCAGCCTCCTGAGTAGCTGGGATAGCAGACATATGCCACCACGCCTGACTTCAAAATGTGCATTTCTAAAGTTACTAAGAGGTAACCTGGTACTACCAGACAGGGGATCATACCTGAAGTGGTGACCATCAGGACACTGACCCACACAATTCTCAGTAGCAGGAAGCCCTCCTGTGACCTCAGGAAAAGCTGCACATGCATCTGCCACAGTCCGTCAGCCTGAAGTGAGGTGAGACTGGTGACGTCTTAGAAGGTCCTGCACCTTGGTGGGGTGGAGGGACACTGCACCTGATTCCTGGCTCTGTCCCTACTCACCACGTGACCAGGTGCAGTGACTGCATCACATAAGAGGAATGCTAGCAGCCCCCTGTCAGGGATTCTGTGAGGTTTAAGAGAAATGTTTGCAAAAAAGCACCACCTAACACAAGCATCATACAAGTGTGTGTTAGAGGACCATGTTGTTCACAGCAGAAAATTCTCAGGTTTCTGACTTCTGCTACTGCTGTGTCTATAAAAGCACATTCTTGCAGCTAAAGAAGAGAATGCAGAAAACTGCAGCGTGGATTCCTAATTTAAAACATTTAATTGTTTGAAAAAAGATCAATCTACAATCAAGTAGTAGTTGATTATGCTGGTTCTGAGACAGTGTTTAAAGTTAGATATAGTGATTTTTGAACACACTTTCTCTTCCATTCAATAAACCATTTTAATGCTGGTTAAATTTACCATCAAAAATGAGAAAAAATAATTCCTCCATTCAAATCAGTTATATCTAAAAAATTTAACTGAGATAATGCCAATTATATAGACTACATAGTGGAGAAATTTTAAATGTCATCTATTTTAAAAGGACATATAACTTTGGTTCATAGAAACACCCATAGAATGAATAATGAACACATACATACACGTGTGCACACACACACGTTCACATGTGTGTTTAGCTGTTGCCCAGTACACCTTAGCCAATGAATTCTCTCCTAATTCAAAAGTGAATTTGTAATAATTCATAGACATCCATGATGGGAGTATATTCAAGCAAACATCTTGTTGCCAAGTCTTGGTTTCCATATGAATCCACAAGACCACTGAGAGAGGCAGAATGATCCCCAGTCTGGTACATGATTCACTTTAGGTGTGCTCTGGATGGCTCTGGAGACAGGACAGCATCTCTGAGACAGGTCTGCCTTCGTAGCAGATCTGATACACCGCGGTAAACAGTGGAAACCTGGGCAGGAGGAAATGTGAAAAGACAAGGTTAGGCCATCTGGTTTACCTCCTAAAACAGATCATTTTCTGTGCTACATAACAGTCTGCAGCTAAGCACTATATGCTGTTTTGCAAAACACAGCAACCACTCTCCACAGTTCTTTATGATTCGGTTTGTAGAGTGTAGAGCCTCTGCACTGTACTTGCTAGACCCTGGGACCACCTATACCACCCTCTGCCTGATAAGCTTGCAGTGTATGGTCACACGTCACATGGCCATCCCTCCTGGGCACATAGTGGTTCATTTACAAAAAGAGTTGTGGCTCAGTCTCATGGTCAAATCTGGGATGAATCCAAGTTCCTGTCACTGTTTTAAAAGACTTTAGATGAATTTTAAATTGCAAGGAGGAACAGCTCCCCCTTCCCTAAAAAGGATCATCCCTCGATGACAGTGAGGCAGTCCACACATCACCATAAATAATTCAGGCCTGCAACACTCCTGCAAGGATCCAAGTTAAGACCCACAATTAGCAAAACCCCGATCTCATGCTGGAAGCTTAATTTATTCTGCCTTTTCTCCCACACATTCACACACGCGCATGCGTGCACAACTCAAAATAAGCTTGACAGAATCAATAGAGCCCTAAAGGCCTTTCTGAAAATTACCTGAGTCGAATACTTTAATGACATTTAATTTAAGAAGAGCAAATAGTCCTAGGATATCACATGTCTTTATGAGAGTCCATCACTGGAGGTTTTTTAAGGTATGGATTGCTATGTTATTTTTTGGAATCAGTAGGCTGAATCAAATCTGACTCCTCAGCTTGTACACTCTGGCCAAGTTTTACACAGCCTCTAACCTGTTTCCTCACCTCTGAAATGGTGCTGGGCATGCAGGCTTGTGTATCAGCTGCCTTACACGTCGAGTGAATGGTAAGGACCTTGGTAAGTGGTGGGCATTCGTAATGACAGCTTCTACCTACAGCCACAGGATGGTCCTGGCTCAGACACAGTAAGCTCCATGTGGAGAGCTGAGACCATTTTGTTCCTCACTGCATGCTCAGTGCCTGGCACAGTGCCCAGCAAGGGGCAGATCCTCAGTATCTATTGAGTAATTCTTGTGAATTCAATGAAGAGACTGGAAATTTCAGCTCCCCCACTTTTGTGCTTTCATGTCTTAGCTTCCCCATTCCTAAGATAAGAACCAAGTGTATGTGCCCAAAGCAGTGTGGCGGGTGATGATTGGCCACCCAAAGCCATCCCCAACCTCCTAGAATTATCCAAGCCATCCAGTCTTCACTGAAGTTTCTGGGGAAGATATTTCTCTCCTTGAGAGTCACTGGAGGAAAAACTGCTACCCTGGACTGCTCTTGTTCTTCCCAACAGCAGCTATGTCAGTATGTGATGCCTGGAGCTACTGCAGCCATCTTGAGGTTCCAGAGGAGGCACAAGGATCTCACAGATTCTCACCCAAAGCCACTGAGCCAACATCACTAAAGTTCACCTCCACGGTACCTCTGATAGCAAAGCACTGCCCTTATAGCTGAAAGCACTTCCAGCTTTTAAACTCAGCATTTCCAAAATGTATTCTGTAGAAGCAATGTTAATGAGATATGGAGTGTGTGTGAGAGGGGGGATTTCTAGTCAAGTAACTTGTTCAATCCTCTCAACCACCCTGTGAGGTAGGAAATAATGATTCCCCATTCTACAGATGAGGAAGGTATGGCATGGTTTCTGACTCTGAGCCAATGCTCAACCACAAACCTACACGCATTTAAATGTTATTTTTCTATAACATAAAATGCTACAAGGCCAATTAGATCTGTTTGGGAAACTCTCTAAATAAAGTTTGAGGTAAAAGGAGGACAAATGGTAACACTGCATAGAGAAGAGTTGACCTAAACCAAACAATCAGCCATTCCAGCAAGGGACACTGGGGACTGAAGTGTGTCAGGCTGCAGGCTGGGGTGGGCATGCACAGGCCCAGTCCGCAGGGAGCTCACAACACTGCCGGGGGCTGCAGTGTGCTCTTCCCCCAGTTTATAGGCTGAGTCCTCACCCCAGGACCCCCAGACGAGGGTTTGGACACCTTACAGGCCTTTAGAGAGACACTCAAGTTAAAATGAAGGCACTGAGGACACAGACAGGTATAGCCAGAATATGTGAAGACACAGTGAGAAGACAGCCACCTACAAACCAAGGAGAGAGGCCGCCGAAGATCCCAACCCTGCCAACATCCAGATCTTTTAGCACCCAGGACGGGGAGAGAATACATTTCTACTGTTCAAGCCACTTAGCCTGTGATGTTGTGTTATGAGACAGTTCTAGTAAATGCAAACACCTTATGTTCACACACGCTCACAGATAGACACACGCGCGCCCAGGCGAAGGCTGATAGAGCAAACTATAATAGCAGAAAACCCTGAACAGCTTTAATATCTATTGAGAGGTGACTGGCTAAACAAACTAGTTTCTCCATTCAGTGGAGTAATCCATAGCCATTAAAGAGATCTCTGTGTGCAGATGTGGACCGAGGTTCAGAACAAACCCTAAGGGGAAGAAAAGCAAGAGACAGAGCAGTTCACAGAGCCCACCACCCGTCACGTAAACCAAAGGCCGCAGGGACAGGTACCCTAGAAACAGGAAAACGCCACATCAAGGGGAGAAGTCAAGATTTCTTCATACTTCACTTTACACTGCATGGTTTTCTGCACATTCTAGTTTTGGGTTTTTTTTTTAATCAACGGCTTCCCCCTCCAAATCTGAAGACTAAAAGTAAAGTGATACATTTATATAAATTAGTACACAGTGGACAAATATCTGTATTGCCTACACCCCGGGTTGACAAACCACAGCCTTGGAACCACTTCTGACCCAGGCCTTGTTTTTGTGCCACCTGCATGCCAGGAATGAGCTTTGCATTTTTAATGGGCTATAAAAGAGAAAAGGAGAAGGAAAAGAAGTGATGAGACCTGTGTGGGGCCTGCGAGTATTCGCCATGTGGTTCTGTACAAAATAGGTTGCTGAGCACCGGTCCACACGGTGAGTTCTCGGCAGGGACCATTCCTTGTAGCAAGAGGACATGAAGAAGGCTTCTGGGTGGAGGGACTAGGCCTGCCAGTGAGGGCGCTGGGCTTGAGATGTGCACCAGGCAGGGCGCCCAGACAGATGCACCCCGAACACCCTTAGAGAGCTGGGCAGGTACTAGACAGAGGCAGCTGCCGAAACGCCAACATGCAGGTTTGTATTTCATTCTGTAAGAGCTGGGGGCCCCCAAATTGGGATACTTGGGTAGAAGGGATCATGGCGGTCATCTGGCCACAATTTTTAATTTGTAGACAACGCCACTGGAACACAGAACAGCTAAAAACATGACTTGTCTAAGACCACGTGGCCCATACGCTGCAAGGTATCCCTGAATGCTACTCACCTGCTCACCCCTTCTATGGCCTGAAGTTAAAGGGGGTAGGGCAGGATACAGGGCGAGAGGGCAGTGATGGTGGGAGTGAAAAAATAAAAAAATCAAGGTGGTAGCAGCACAGGTGACTGGCAGAAGAATCCGCCTCTGCAGTGCGGCTCGGGAAGCAAGGGGTGCCAGAGAAGGCAGCCCTCGTGCCGTCCCTCCAACCCTGAAGAAAGTGCTGCTATCTTGAGTCCAGCCTCAGGCCATTCTGCATGGGCGCACCTGACTCAATCTGTAGTCCAAAGAGCTAAAAGGATACAGCTGGGGAGGTCCTGAGCAGCTTTGCCCAAAGTCAGGCAACCACCACTCCCAGCACCCCAGTCCCAGTGCCTTTCCCAAAGGGCTAATGACAAGCACAGACCAGCGCCTGCCAACCTGCCCATCCACAGAACCCTATCGAAGGTACCACTTGGTAACACACAGTGGCCACCTGAAAAATCTGCTTGGGAGACTCTTGCAATCACTCAATGTCCAAGGATTGTAAGGCTTGAAATAACTTCCTGAGAGGCAGCACATGCTTAGAATTCCCAGCTACTTACTTTGGAGGCTGAGGCAGAAGAATCAAAGGTCAATTCCCAATACTGCAATCAATCAATCAATCAAACAATCAATCAATAAAATAAAAACGCTGATAAATGCTCAGTGGTTATTACAGTAGCTCTATCACATAGCAACACACCAGTGTCCACTAAGCAGGTAAGGAAAACCATGCAAGGCAAAGATGCCTTCCTCTTAGTCACAATTTAAGATCCTTCCCCTCCTCCTGTCTGTGAACTTCTACCTCCCCAGAGTGGTTTTAAAAGCCATTTCAGAAAAATACAGTACAAATTAAAAAGGGAAAACTGGTACCTCACGTGTTTGAAATTTTCATTGGAAACTCCATAGCTGCTGATTTTGACTCAGTAAGAGGATGAGGGGAGCTGAGTGCAGGCTGAGGTGAAGGTGCATGGTGGGAACCAGCACACAGCTGGACTGAGCAAGAGTGAAGGAGATGCCACCAGAGATGTTACAGTTTGTGTCTGGATGTCCCCGCAAAGCCTCATGAGGTTATGGGGAACAGGCTTTTCAGAGGTGGCTGAATCTAGTTTCTTCACTGGTTCACTGTCTAGTGCTGGGATTGGGGGTGTGAGTGCTATACGCCCCCTAGGGCAGGAAGCCTGCAACACAATATAAGGGAGGGTAAGGCTCGTCTCGTTCCTCTCCTGTTGCTTTCACTGTCTTCCATTGCCTTGAACAGTCTCCCCTCTGCCACGTCACTCTGCCCTGGAGCCAGCTGATTATGGACTGAAACCTCTACAAACTGTGAGCTAAATAAACCTTTCCCCCTTTAACCTTGGATGCTGGGTATTTTGGCTCAGCAACGAGAAAAGTAACTGAGACAGACGTCATCTGCAAACCACCTCCAGGCTTGAGAGAAATACACACTTGAGGTAAGTCCCAAGCAACAGCATCAATATAGCTGCCCAGCACTCTGGAATCCCAGATAGCCAAACTTTCTAGTATACCCCAAAGGAATAGTGGGGGGAGGTGAGGAGACAGTGTTATAGTTTAAATCTGAAGTGTCCCAAAGGCCCATGTGTTAAAGGCCTGGTTACCCACCTGTGGTGGGACCTTTAGAAGGAGGGGTTTAGTAAGAGGCAACTAAGCTAGGTCATTGGGAGTGTGCCCTTGAATGGGATATAAAACCTGGCCCCTTCCTATCTCTATCTTTTCTTCCTAGTCTCAATGAAGTGAATAGTCTCCTCTGCTATACGTTCCAACTGTGATACTATGCTGCCACAGTCCCAAAGTGACAGTGCTAAGCGACCATGGACCAAAACCTCTGAAACCTTAAGCCAAAGTAAACAATTTCTTTTATGTTGATTTATCTTGAGTATGTGTTACCTTGACAGAGGCTGACTAACACGTACGCTGTGCAAGGCTGAATAAGGTGGTGCTGGCATCGTAGTCCTGCAGAATTCCTCAGAAACTCAGCAGGATGAAGGGCTGTGTGGGAGGCAGGGCCACACAACAGCCTTGGAGAGGTTAGGCAACTTGTGGTGCTATAGGGCTTACTCCTCAGTCAGGTGGGTAATCAGATGACCAGCCCACCTTACGCAGGCCTGGCCCAGAAGGGAAAGGGAAGACAGATCCAGGCAGCCAGTCACCCATACAACCAGAGATGGCAAGGCTGTGCACCCAACCCACAGGTCCCTCAGACAGCAGAACTCTGGGACAGCTTGTCTTTCCTTGTTTCCTGAATTGTTTGATATTTTATTCACATGATTATATCTTTTTACTTTTTAAAAAACTAATTACTTTAGAAAAATTTAAAACTTATGACATGCAGCTCTTCCTGAACACCCTATCAGAGAAACGAGAATCTAAAGGTTCATATTTTGCAATATGCCTTATAGATCTTCTCACTGAAGCTGAGACTTGTATTGTGTAAACCCTTGTATTTGCGGTAGGTAGATATTTCCTGTCATAGATGTTCATATAACACAGAGGACTCAACTAATTTCAGTACAGTCTACGTCCACTTGTCCAACTGGCGCTCCTCTGCTGGGAGCTGCTGTCCCAGACGATGGGGGTGGCTTACTTGTCAGTGAGTCCCTTCTGCTTGAGGATGCGGTACACTTCTGCAGAAGTCTGAGGTCCTTGTAGCTTCTGCCCATTCAGCATCTCCTTCTCCAATTCTTCAATGGTCTTAAAAGCAAAGGATAAAAACTAGGGTAAAGACTACACACCACTTATTTTCAGAGGAAAGTGGGGCAGGAGGGCTTCAATTCCTGCTGCAAGCCAAAGAAAGATAAAGATATAAAACCAGGAGTCCCATGAAAGCACCCATGGTGAGCAAAGAGCAGGTACAAGATTGACCTTTGAGGAGTAGAGACAGAGGGGTGGGAGGGTGGGAGCTACCTTCCCCGTCCTGGCGAATGCCTCGGCTACCCTGCGGTTCCGCCCTCCGTAGCAGGTGGTGATCAGGTCAGCCACCCCGCAGCTCTCCAGGAAGGTGGCTGTGGACACCTGGCCCTTGCAGAAGATCTTGGCAAAAGAGATCATTTCCATGAGGCCCAGGCGGATGACGGCAGCTTTGGTGTTGTCTCCGCAGCGGAGGCCATCGCAGAACCCGGCTCCCACAGCGACAATGTTCTGCACCGGAGACATGAAAGCCCAGGATGTCGTTACGGCACCCCTGAGGGTGAGGATGCAGAGGGGGACAGCTGGGGGACACTGGCTCCACCTCAAAAGGCCCAGCCCTGGCTGTCCTGACCAGGGCAGAAGATGAAAGGGATGGGCCTTTTATCTTTCCATTTACAGAACAAAAGACAGAGGTGCATCAACCAGAGACTTATAATGGCTGCTAACAGTCTTGGGTAAACACAGTTTGGACTGACTACTTACCTTTGGGCTGTTTTTATTAAAACAATGATTTATTCAACCATAACATTCCTAAGGGAAGTATACAAACTCTAAGTGTATTGCTTAATGAATTTTCACAGTATTCTGAACATACCTATATAGCCAGTCCCGGACCCCAAAACAGAGTGCAACTCATACCCCAGAAAGTTCCCTGGGGATCTCTTCCAGATACACCCACAAAGCAACCACTGTCTTCACCTCTCACAGCACAAACCGGTTTTACAGGTCTTTAAGCTTTCTAAGCACAAAACCATTCTGTACGCCAACTTTGGTGTCTATCTTCTTTGCCTCAATTAACATCAAGTTTGTGGGAGGCGTCACATTTTTACAAGTAGCACATTCACTGTCATTGCCCCTCAGTGTTCCATGGGGCGTGACACTGTAGTTTATTTACTCTGTCTGCAGTTGGCACAGAGGTAGTTTCCAGGTTGGGGCCAGATGTGCCATCATGGACACCCTGGCCCATGGGTTGAGGTGACACTGAACAAAGAGGGCCAGAGAACGGAAAGGCCCAAAAACTGTTGTGTTCTCTGCCTCTGGGACAGGGCCAGCTGGCTGTGTTCCTCTCACTGTTAATGTAAAATAGAAAAATTCTGTAAATGATCAGAAAGCTGACAGGAGCTCATGCAGGTTTTGGACAAATTCATGCCACTTCTTTGTCCTAGGTCAGTGATACAAACAGCCTGCTGTGGCATGCATGCCGTAGGCTCGCCACCACTGTCCTGGATCATCTCTCAGGGAGGGTATGAGTTCCAGCCGAGGAAAGCAGCAGCTTCCAAGCTGGTCACTCTCCCCAAGATGCTGAGGGTGGGGGCTCTCTGCCTTGGTACCTGCAAAGGCTCCTCAAACCCTTCCCACCACAAAGGCAATACAAACTGTAGGTTTCATCTGCTCCCAAACGACACCTACCCAAACCACCTGCTAAATGCATGACAGCAGAGGTGGAAACTCCTGGGTTAGGGCACTTTCTTTTTTGAGGCAGGGTCACACATCATGTTGTCTAGGCTGGCCTTAAACTTGTGACCGTCCTGCCTCGGCCTTCAGAATGCTGGGATCACAGGTGCATGCCACCCCTCCCGGATTCTCAGTGCATTCTTCATGTCTCACGGCATCGTGTTAGAAGGAGGGGAGGGCAGTGTGAAAGGAGTCTTGGGAGATGCTGAGGGCAAGGTAGGCTCTGGTTTAGCAACTCTGCTCTGGAGGGACGAGCTGCCAAGTTATGAAGGAAAACTGGCGCTTTCAGGGTGGTATCACGCAGAGACTAAGAGCAGGAGCAGCCGGGCCTGTGAAGCCCTGCTGGCGTAATAACAGAGCCCAGCAACCACAGGAGCCACAGCGGGCGCACTGCACGACGCCTAGAGGTCCTCCCTACCCTGGGACCCAGGCCAATCTGTCCTCCTCTCTGGGCCACTTTGCCTCAGATGTAAAATTTAGAGATGGAAAAGATTTCAAAGTCTTTCCCATGGTGATATTCCTCTAAGAAAGCTGGTGCACTTATAGCCTGCACTGAGGCTATGGTATGGGGACCTGTAGAGGACTGAGGCCAGACAGGGTGAGAACGGGCCTATTAAGGTTGCCATGGCAATGTGCCTGAGGTTTTGGCTTAGCACTGGGATAACTGGCCAAGTGGTGAGAATGCTGGATTTGCCCTCTGATACTTCCGTGTCCCTGTGTCCTCATCAGATCACTACGTGACCCATTCTGGAACAGTCAGCTACCTGACAGCCAGCCCCAGGAAATGTCACTGCCTGAATGAGTGCAAACAGGGACTTCCACTTCCCCTGCTCCTGCAGACACAGGAGAGGGTTCCTCGGGGCTTAGAGCAAGCTTACCAGGCCAGATGCAGTCTTCCCAATGCTCAGGATGGTGCTGTAATGTGCACCTATCCTCCCTTTTCTGGACTGGCACAACCCTACCTTGCCAAATGTACCACCTCATGAAAGAAAGAGTCAAAAAGAAAATGCCTCCAGGGCCTGGCCCATGCTGCACCTCTGTGCCCTGTGCCAGATGCTTCCTCGGAGTAAAATCTGTGCTCCCTCCTCCTGGGGTCAGAGACCTTGCCACGCCAGCCACTGTAGTTCCAGGTTGAGGGGCAGCACCTCTGCAGCCTGCAAAGAGGCTGGGCTGCTTAGTAATAGAAAAAAAAGGGCTGCTTAGTAATAGAAAGGACACTAGGGGAAAATCTTAAGAACAGCAATGGCCAAGCTTCCTGAACTGTTCTAAATGCTTCATACATTAACACATCACTTAAGCCTCACACTTCACATTTGCACAAGGCAGGTCCTGTTATCAAGCACAGTGAGAGGAAGAGGAGACTAAGCGGGTCGGGGAGAGTCAGGTAGAGGCACCTGCATCAAGTCCAGTTAACTGGCCCACCAAGCAGCAGACCTGGTGGGAAACGGGCTGGCCCTGCAATCACCCAGCAGGATGCTACAGGCAGATCCTGGGGACCAAACAGTGCTTTTGTTATGGCACTCAGGCTAACCAGACGTGCAGGGCAGGAAGCAAGTTTGGCAGACGGAGGAGCCTGGGGACCTCAGCTGGTGTAACCCTTCACTGAGTGTTTTTTATTTTTTTATTATTTTTTTTTGTCTTTTTTTTTTTTGAGACAGGGTCTTGCTATGCAGTTTAGGCTGGCCTTGAACTCACTTTGTAGCCCAGGCTGGCCTCGAACTCGCAACCATCCTCCCGCCTTAGCCTCCCGAGTGCTAGGATTACAGGTGTGTGCCACCATGCCCGGCCCCTTCCCTGTGGGGCACACGCATCTGGGTCACCTCAAGGTTTCTGTTAGACAGCTAACATTTCCATCAGGGAGCTGGGGATCCACATGAGGGCAAACTCCCTTCTAAGAGGACTTTGGACCCCTACCCAATTTAACCGCCTTATGATGGATCCTGAAATCCTCTTTCCGTCCTTCCACCACTTATCACTGTCAAAAGAAAAATGCATGCAGCCAGTCAGTGCGTGGTTGAATAGCGTTTGAACAGATGTCCTGAGATCACTCAGCTGTGAAAGTTACCATTATCCACTGCACATTTAAATCTGCTTTAAATTCTTTGCAGCTAAAAATACCATGATTTTCAAAAGACAGACATGCTTAAGCTCTTCCCATGTAGTACAGTCTTTGCAATTCTGAATGGGGGCACACTGGACAGGGCCCAATTCCTCTTTCACTCCTACCTTCCCACAAAAATAATGTAAAACCAGAGGACCAGTCCATACTTCTCCGTGTATCACCACTTAGGGAGATCATCCCACTGAGACCCACGCAGGACGCACTGCTTTCAGTCAGTCTAAGACGCCCCCTGCGGCCAGCTTCTGATACGCCTGAGCTCAGCGGACACACTGTCCACACAGCAGGGGACACGCGAGGCAACACGCCACATACTGTGTGCAGAAGTGTCAGGGAGGTCAGCATCAAGCCCACACTTGCCCCACTGAATGGGGTACAACAGGAAGCTGTCTTAGCGTGCATTAGTGTGCAATGTCCAAAACAAGTTTCTGCTCTGCCCAGTACAGTCACCACAAGCCACAAGCGGCCCGTGTGTCTTTCTGGTGTGGTGACTGTGATTCAGAAACTGAATTTCTAATTTTTAAAACTGAGAGGCATGATGTGCAGTGAGCCCCAGAGCTGTTTTATGATGGAATGAAATCCAGAGGTGCCCTGGCAGCTCACAGAGGACTCACATCCAGACCAAGATGCGGAACACTAGAGCTCCCCATGTGCCTTAGGGTCGGCCTGCTGCTGTTGGCTGCTGGCTGTGGCTCTGGGCTGAACAGAGCTTATCTTCTGGATGAGACAGGGTGGGTGTGGACATTAGCCCTATGAACTGGATGGAGCCTTGGGCTGAGTCACTAAAGGAAACCTGCTTTCAGGGCTGTAGAGCAAAGCACCCCTTAAAAAGGAACTACTGCCACATTCATCCAGCTGAAACTCTAAGGAAGCAGACGGATCTAAAACAGGCCAGTTTTCTCTGAAAGCATTAGCTTCTTCTGCTTTGTTACAAAAAAGTAACCTGACGTTAACCAATCAGGTCTCCGCCCCCATTTTTCTTTTTCCTTTTTTTCACCTTACAAAACCCATTGTTCTTCTTTTTTTTTTTTTTGTCTTTTTGAGACAGGGTCTCGCTGTGCAGTTCAGGCTAGCCTTGAGCTCACTTTGTAGCCCAGCTGGCCTCAAACTTGCACCACCTCAGCCTCCTGAGTGCTGGGATTACAAGCATGCACCATCATCCCTGGCCAACCCATTTTTCTTCCAATGGGAGGTCTCATTCTATTTTATAGAATGGAGGCTACACCAATTTAAAATCTCAAATAAAAGCCAATTAGACCTATAGCTAAATGTTTTAATATTGTCTTTTGACAATATATTACTATCAAAAGCCATTGCATTATCTACTTTAAATAGAGTCAGTGTACATGAATTACAGTTTATGTAAGAAAGTTTGATGTTTATAAAAGAACACTTTCAAGCCAGGTATGGTGGCACACTCCTGTAATCCTAGCCCTCAGAAGGCTGATGCAGTAAGACTGCTTTGAGTTCAAGGCCAGCTTGGGCTAGAGAATGAGATCAAGGCCAGCTTGGAATACATAGCAAGACTCAAAACAGAACAAAACATACTTTTCTTACTGATTAAAAGAATAACATGGCTAGGAGATAAAAGGCATTCAGAAGGCAGTAAAGGGTACTGGTACAAAATGATTGCATGTAATTCCTCTGGATTCTTTTATCCTTCTAGGAGCTACTTTCTTTGTCTCTTAATAAGTCACGTGCCCTCGTGCTTTTAAGTACAAACAAGATTATGTGCTTGTTTTATTGGCTAGTGTGGAGAAGATTACTAAAGACTGTTAATGTGAAGAAGTAAAACACACCGAACTACTCCAACAGTAAGGCCTGGTTTTGTTTTTTAGAGGTGACCTTCTCTGTATTTTTGTGTTGTGTGGAACACAATGAATACTACTTGTACAATCAGACACAACTACTGTTTATGTAATGAAAGAAACACGGGGCCATTCCTTTGGCAGCTCTGACAAGAGGGGCTTCATTTTGCTCACGATGTCTGGGAGCAAACCAGAGAGGCCAAGCTGTGCACAGTAGCCAGTGAACACCTGAGAGTCTTAAAACTGCTGATGCCAATCCTTGCTGCTTACAAGTCCTTTGCTCTCTGGAGTTTGCTCTCCTTAGCTGTACGATACAATGGTTATGTCACCAGACACCAGCAGGTCCCCCAAACAGAAGATGGGAACCTCAACTTACCCCACCCCCAGGGCAGGTTGCAGATTTACCACTTCCATCACAGACAATAATTTTCAAGCCACTTCAATGAGAGACAAAAAGGAGTTTATCAGGCAGAACTGAAAAAGTACACCCTCAGAGAGAACAGAATGTAGGTCCTGGTGAGAGAGACACATTATGGTCTGAAGCTGGGTATATTCATGTAGCCTTAGGGTGTCTTCAAGGTGGATGACATTCCAACTGTCAGATTATCCCTCTGGAAGGCCATGTCAGAATGCAAAGGGCTTATGTATGTGGGTTCTATGGTTCTGAGGATTGAATCAAGAGCCTTCACACTGAGCTATACCCCCAGTCTGTTCTTATCTTGAGTCAGGGTCTTGTTAAACTGCCAGGCTGGGCTCCGGCTTGCAGCCCTCCTGCCTCATCTCTCAGTGTGCTGGGACTGTAGGTTCATTTACGTGTCTGAAGTTGACTGCCCACTGCTTCCCTGAGGGTGGAGGTCTGCAGGGAGAAGGGCAATTTTCAGGTAAGCAGCTTAGGGCCAGAGCCCAATTCATGGGCCTCCTGTGTTTCTAGGCCTCTTAAGATTTTTTTTTGGCAGGGATGGGGGGGTGTAATTCCTGAAAGGGAAAAGGACTTGAGGAACATTTGTGTCCTGAAATTGCAGTTTTTCTTAAAAGTACAATCTTATGATTACGATTTTCCTTGGCTCCTTTCTACTTATCTTTACTTTTTTCTAGCCTACCTCACTGGGTCTCAAAGACTGTTAGAGAACTTGCTTTGCAGTTTAAAAAACATCCCAGCTCTGATGCCACCAATCATGGTAGCTGATCTCGTTCAGAGTTCAGCCACAGAGGAAGAACAGTAAGTAGCCCTCCAGCTCCATCTGCCTGCACCGCAAATCACTCTGTCATGGTAGCAGACACAAATCCACCTCCCGGCTTCCTGCCAGGAAAAATGAAAAGGCAATGGAAGTTCAAGCACAAGACCAGCATGCGCTCCCATTAGCCGAAGCTTTTCCAGAACCTTCAATCTAGACTCTTCTCATCCAGCACCCTTTGTTCTGGGCAGCATTTCACAGCTTCTCTGAGCTTCAAAAACACTCGGCCTCTTAAAAATAGCTTTGGAGCAGCTCAGCCAGGGCTGAGCGATTAGGCATTCATGATGCCCCCTGCTGTCAAGTGGTCATTAGTTTAATGGAGAACTATTAAAAACACATAAAAATCTCAACCAACAAAAATAAACAAAGCTGCCAAAGCTGAGGTCTTCTGTGTGTAACAGGGCTTGCGCAGAATATAAAGGAAAGCCCTCTACACACGCATTTAGAAATACAGAGGTGTGCTCTGCCAGGCAGCCCAGGCCTTTCACCGACTTTAGTTCTGTAAAGGCTCATAGTGTATTGTGACCACATACAATATTAATTCCAGAAAGTGGTTTTAGATTCTGCCTAGAAAAAAAAAAAAAAGATGGGCAGTTTCTGAAAACCAGGGGGAAAGCATTATTTGGACATGGGTGTTCTCTAGATTCTCTCAACCGTGGCCATTCTCACTTGAAACAGGCAGGTGAAAGCCACAGGGCCGGTTTTTTCCTTACGCGCGCTCCAATTCCTAAAAAGTGGCTTTTTGCTGTAAAGGATGACTCAAAAGTGAGTCCAAGGAGACATTCGTATTGAGAACTCTTCTTTTTCCTTCTTTTCTTGGTAGAGGTCAGTGACAGCAACTTGGGTTCCCAGGGGAGAAAGATCAGGCAGGTGCTGCAGCACAGCTGCTTGCTGGCTGTTTCCCACCGCAAGGACAGAAACTGTGTCCAAGGCTTGCAAAGCTGGGTGTGGTGGCACACACTTGTCATCCTAGCACTCAGGAGGCTGAGGCAGGAAGACTGCCAAGAGTTTGAGGCTACATATCCGGGATAGCATGAGCTACTATACACAGCTAAGTTAGGTAGAAATATTATAGGCAGTCAGGGCTAGGCCTGAAGAGGTCAGGGGGTGGTGGCAGGTGGCACATGCCTGTAGTCCCATGGCTCAGAAGGCTGAGGTCAGAGAATCGCTGAGAGTTCAAGGCCAGCCTGGGCTACATGCAAGAGTTCAAGGCCAGGTTGGAATATACAGGGAGACACTGTCTCAAAAACAAAGCAAAGACAGGGTAGGTGAGTCAGAAATGCAGGGGCAGAAATATAGCCTTTTTACCTCCTACTATTACTTAAAACTTAGGGCAGGGCACAGTTTTGGACTGAGCTCCTTACAAACCAGATCAACCCAAAACAGTCACTCATGGTAAGTACAACTTAATCACAATAGATTTATTTTTGTTTCTTTTGTGGTACCAGGAATTGAACTCATGACCTCAAGCTTGCCAGGCAGGTGCTGTGCCACTGAGCTAAATCCCCAGCCCCAACACTGAAAATCTAAAGAAGCAGAGATCTCAAACCAGGCCAAGCTTTCCTGAAATCAAGAGGCTCCATTCTTCCTAAGCTAGCATGGTAACGAAATCCCCTTTGCTTTAAACCTTACAAAAACTAACCTGATTCCAACCAATCAGCTTTTCCTATTCTGCTTCCGTACTTTCACATTACAAATCCCAGTGCCTCCTGGGGGCACTATTCTGTTTTGCAGAAGGCAGGCAGTCCTATTCATGAATCATTAATATCCGCCAATTGGACCTAGACTATATTTATTGTGATTTTTGTCTCCAACATTCCCTAATAGCTGAACACTCAAGATTGCTTCTTTAATCTGCCATTTTCCCTCCAGAAGAACAAAGATTAACTGTTTATTCTTAGAAAAACCTCTTGTCAGCAGCAGACTATTTTTTCCTTGAAAAAGAACAACCAACCAAACCACCAAACCACCAAACGAGGAAGGCAGCAGAACTCAGAGACAGCAAGTTCCTTCTGCCCGAGAAAACACACCTGTGAAAGAGATGAACCAACGGAAACATTTGTTCCTAGATAAAACCCCAACACGCAGCCACCTACCCAAAGCACAGAACATCACAATTCTCCCATAGTCAAAAACAAAAGCAAACCATGAATAAGAGAGGAACTCAAAGCCTGAAAGGCAGAACAGGAAGGTGTAAACAAGACTCTCAATTCACTATTCTTCCCTGAAACCGCCCGTGGGAAACACAAGGGCCATTCTTCAGTGCTAACCACAACCGTGCCTTGCGTAACTGCCCTCTCCGGTCTGAACAACAAGGCTGACTTTACCTTAAGAGCACCGCAAAGCTCAACCGTGTCCGCATCATCAACCACAGTAATTCGAAAATTGGGAGTCTGCAGAAGTTCTTTGAAGAGAAGGCCATTCTCCATGACTTTGCTGCCTATTGAAAAGTTAGAAACAGGGAAATTAGTAACAGTATCTAATGTACCTAACAGGTAAAACAGTAACCTTTCTCTTACTACAAAAGTAACAGATGTTTATTGCAAAAAATTTAGAAGACAGTAGAAGCAGAAAGAGAAAATAAAGCTATCCCCTAGTTCTACCAGAGGACTGTTTATAGCTTTACACATATATTTAGTTTATTGAATAGATGTAATTTTCGAGTATTGTTTACTGAATGAATATAGTGCTGGCACAGGCTGTAATCCCAGCATTCTGGGAGGCTGAGGTAGGAAGATCACATATTAAAGCTCGCCTGGGCCATTTAGTGACTTAGCATGAGTATTTCTTTAAAAAAATTATGTATATATATAAAACATAATATGTGTATAGGTCTTATAATCTGCTTTCTGTTTTCTCAGTTTTGGAAGCTGGAAATGCAGTCAACCTGTTTCTGCTATAGCTACTGTCCCCTCCTTGGGGGACAGTGCCTGGAACGTGCTGAATGCTCAACGGTTTTCATATATTATCTTAAAAGTATTTCTTTGTTTTGGAGACATGTGATTGAAAATCAAGCAGAAACAAAAATAAAACCTTATACAAAAAGCCTGATATAAAATCTGCTCTGGCTGGTAAGGTGCAGGTGCGCATAATCAAATCCACCCTCCCCACTGGCTCTGAAGTCAGGACTGTAAGATTTATCAGCCCAGTCCTGCTCCCAAGCAAAGGGAGCACACTGAGGACTCCAGCACCAGGCCTGGCCTGCCTCGAGGTAGCAGAGTAGCTGTTACCAAGCCTGCCTGCACTATATAATCACTGCAGGATCTTCAAAAACACAAGCACCCAGCCTTGGCCCCCTTAAATCGTAGTCTCTGGAACAGAGCAGGCATCAGCAGTTTTTTGAGGCTCCTCAGGTGATTCCGAGGGAAAGACAACTTTGCAAACTTTTGATATAACCTCCTCTAGCTTCAGCTTCCCATGAGTAAAAATAATGGTCATGAGGAAATACAGTAAAAAATACAGGATGGTTGTAAAGTTAAATAAGAATCATACGTGAAAAAAATCTTCAGGTCATACCAACATTCACAGTTCCCAAAGACAGCATGGAATCAGATGACATCTGCATGCCTGTGATTACGATTTTCTATACTGACAGACAGGAAAACTAAGGCCCAGAGAGGTTTAGTAACTTCCTACGGCTACACACCTAGGAAGCTGAGCCCAAGTTTTAACCTATATGCTGCTCTGGCCCCTGGCGTCAGGCTCTGACTCCGTGCTAGGCCACCTCTTGGCTGCGCAAAGAGTGAAGACAGCAACAAAGACCACAGAGACATGCAGATAGGCACTTCCATTGTGGGCAAGACTGTCAACAGTTACAATGAGAGCCAGAAGGTATACAGTCAATGTCAGAATGGGGCTGGGGTTGCAGCTCAGTGGCAGGCACTTGCCTAGCATGCACTAGGCCCTGGTCTTGCTCCTCAGCACACACAGAGTCAACTCAGGGGAGGTGAAGCACAGCTGAAATAAGGCGGGTCAAGAGTGAGCCATTTCTGATGATGGATACAAGAGGTTTTGACACCACACTACCTCCTTTTGCTCTTTAAAATGTTCCATAATAAAATGTTCAAATAGCCATGCCCAGTAAACACAAACTCTTTCTATTCTGCAAAACATCACTGTTATCTTATTCAGCAGAGTTCTCCTTTTCCAAATATTGGAAGGGCGTCCACTTAAGCAACCTGTCCTCTTCCTCTTTTCAACGGCCCACCAGGCATCTAGGTGATTCTGCGCAATGCTGTTTCCTCACCCGGAGGATAACCTGCCCCACAGCACATTCCCCCATCCTGTGTCTCTCCTGTCCCTCACCACAGGCAAAGCACTGCTCCAGCCCTCCAAGGGGAGGGACCCCAGTCACTGTCTCCACTGTCTGCAGCCGAGGCTTGGGTGCTACAGTGAGCTTCCTGAAATGTGGGTGCAGGGAAGCTGCTCAAAGTCAGCAATGGATACAAGGGGCAGGGACGAGCTCTTCTGTGGCTGCAAATAAGTGTCCATTAGAGAGGTTGGTTTGGTTCGTGACAAGCTCACATTTTCTCCAATGTACATTTTAAGAGTTATTATTTCACCAGGGATATAGCTCAGTGGCACAGCGCCTGCCTGGCAAGCATGAGTTCATGAGTTCGATTCCCAGTACAAAAAAAAAAGTTATTATTTTGGTGGTTTTTGATTCTTTTATGACTTTTTATTTTTTTGTTTTTGAGACAGGGTCTTGCTGTGTAGCCCAGACTGGCCTTAAACTCAAGATTATTCTGCTGTCTTGGCCTCCTGAGTGTTGGATTACGTGCATGCAATATCACCAAGACCTGTTATTTTCGAGCCAGAAGTGGTGGTGCACGCCTGTAATCTCAGCACTCGAGAGGCTGAGGCTGGAGGATCATTGCCAAGTTCGAGGTCAGCCTTGGCTACAAAGTGAGTTCAAGAACTGTAGTCAGACCCTGTCTCAAAAAGAAAAAAAAAAAATTGCCATTTTAAATCATGGATAAGAAAGCACTAATTGCATTATTACTAGCAGTCATAGGCAATGATGTGGCAGGCAGGAACCTAGGCCTTCTACACAAGTATAAGTGGTACCCAAGAGCCATGGAGAAGGGCTGCCCCAAACTCAACATGAACCAAAGGACAGGAAAATCCCAACTGTTATGCCAACTGTCAGTGATCAACCTAGGCAATTCAACTTTCAAAGCCTCATTTCAGTCTGATTCCATACTTGTTTGCAGAGACGCTCCATAAGGAGCTTACCTTTCTTAGATGTCTTAGCTACTTTTTTCATTGCTGAAACAAAATGCCCAACACCCACAGTTAAGGGAGGAAAGGTTTATTTAGCTCACAGTTTATAGAGGCTTCAGCCCATAATTGGCTGGCTCCAAGGCCGGGTGGATGGCAGACAGACACTGCAGAGGAGAAGCGATAGCAAAAGCAAGAAGCAAGGGACATTAATAGCATCTTTCTCTCCCTTCTATTTTATCCAAACTACTCAGGGTGGGCAGCACTCACACCTGTAATCCTAGTACCCTTGAGCCCAGTACTGCACCATGAATCAATCCTAGCATCACACACCCTAGATCCAGCCTCCTCTGGAAAAGCCCCATCACCTATGACTGCATGAGGCTTTTAGGGGATATCTAGACACAAGCCCTAACACTAGACATTTAGTGCTCTGCCTGATACATAATAGGCTTCAAAAAATATTTGTGGAATGATTCAGCGGTAAACTCCCCATGAAGGGAGATCTCACCACAAGGGGACACCACTATTTACCACAACAGCAATTCCAAAATACACTCAAAGTATGCCATTTCTCGTCTCTTTTCTTTTTTCTTTTTTGGTTGGTTGTGTTGTTGTGACCTAGGGACTGAACCCAGGGGCACTACACTACATCCTCAGACCTTTATGCTTTTTATTTTGAGACAGGGTCTCCCGAGGCTGGACTAGAACTTGCCATTCTCCTGCCTCAGCCTCCTGAGTGCTAGGATTACAGGTTTGGTTTCTTCTTGTAGGAAAGTTTCCCAGTTGGGTGGGTTAGGAAAATACAAGTGGACCAAGATTTCTGAATCTAACATAATTTAAAGTTAGCTGGTCCCTAATATCATCAAGAAAGGAGAGCTGGAAAAGGACAGTGTAATTATCAAATGCAGGAGTCTGTGTTGTAATTCTATTACCTAACAGTCCACAGTCAAGTCTCACCAGCCACTCCAATGTTGTGTTTCACAGCCACCTTCTCTCCCCAGCTAGGATCCAGCCTGGGCTCCTGTGCTACGGTTAGTGGCCAGGTCCTCCCTCCCGTCTTTCATCTGGGACACTCACTAAAATTTCACTGGCTTCCATGACAATGACACTTTGAAGAGTGGGCAAGCGGTTGTGTAACATCTTTACTCTGGACCTGCCTGGAATTTCCTCCAGTGTTTTGCATAACTTAATGCTGGTCACCAGTGCCAACTGCAGTCCAACCCACAGAAAGGACAGGGAAATATTGGGGACACAAGCCAGAGGGCAATACAACTTCCAGGAAGTGGGGTGTCTTTGCAAACCAAAGGTTAACCCAGCCAGTGGGGAACTTTCCTAAAACAGACAGAGGTAGAGCAGATAAGCATGCTAACCAAAACCTGCAGGTAGGTATAAGGTTTAAATCAGGGGCTGGAGATTAATTTCAGCGTGACAAATAAATAATCAGTCATTTCCAACCAACTAGGAAAGGGCTATCACCAAATAGGATTGAGATGAAACAACTTATTAATCTTTTTGGAAAAAAGACTTCACAGGCTCTGTCAAAACTGAAGATGGATAAAAACATTAACTGCAGAAAGACAAACCATATATACTATATAAGTATATTATACTAGCATGCACATATATAAATAAATAATTTCCTGGAAGATATTTAGAAACTGCTAATAGTAATTTCCTCTGGGAAAGGGGAAATTATAATCTTAACTCTAATTTTCTATCTTAACATAGTCTGATTTTTTTCCCCTGTCTGTATCACCTCTGTAAATGTAAGCTTGAATAGCTGAATAGGTCATTCTTAGTTTCTTCTACTAGGGCTCAGAAAATGATACCCAAACTATATCACTTAAGATTTAAAATTCAGAACACCTGGGGAAGAATAACTGCAAAGCTTGCTCCGAGCTCTCCTCTACCTAAAGACCCAGATCCACCAAAGAGGAACACAGTTGCCTTTAATGTTCTTACCAAGGGTCACCGGCTCAGGAAGCTTAAATTCAAATCACGAAGGAAGAGATGAAAATCAAACACTACACCCAGAGCCCAGAAGCCCTTTGCCCAGCTCATTCTCTCCTCTAAAAATCACTTATCGGGGCTGGGGATTTAGCTCAGCGGCAAAAGCACCTGCCTGGCAAGTGCAAGGTCGTGAGTTCGGTTCCCGGTACCGGAGAAAAACAAAAAAACAAAACAAAAAAAAAAATAAAAAAAAATAAAAATCACTTATCCCTTTTCTAAACTTAGCAGAACCCTGCTCCTCTCCCCTAGGAAGAGGGAATGTGAGCCTCAGCCATCTGCCACTTTTTCGACTTTCACATATGCATGTTTAATAAATTCATATATATGTGTATGTGTATATATATATTTGTGATCCATCTATTGCCAGTTTGTCTCAGCAGGCTCAATTACTAAGACTTCAGAGCGAAAGTTTGAACTTCCCTATACTTCTTTACATTGTTGAGACACCTCTACTCTCCAAAAAATACTTCACCAAAAAAAAGGTTTCACAGGTCTTGGTTGTGCATGTCTCTTAATTTCAGCATTCTAGATACTCAGGCAGGAGGATTACTACATGTTAGAGGTCAGCCTGGGCTACATAGTAAGTTCAAGGCCAGCCTAGACTGTATACCAGACTCACTCAGAAAAACAAAACAAAAAGTTTTAAGTGTTCAAGTATGCCAGGCATGATGGCGCAGGCCTGTAATCCCAGCACTCAGGAGGCTAAGGCAGGAGGATCGTTGCAAGTTTGAGGCCAGCTGGGCTACAAAGTGAGCTCAAGGTCAGCCTGAACTGCATAGCGAGAACCTGTCTCAAAAAGACAATAAATAAATAAATAAATAAATAAATAAATAAATAAATAGTAATCATAGGCAGCATGTAACTAACAATAATCAAAAATAAGTAGCACTAATACAAGAAGCTAGGTACAGTGGAATACACCTGTAATCCTAGCAGTCAGGAGGCTGAGGCAGGAAGACTATGAGATCAAGGCCAACATGGGCTATAGCGTAAGTTACAGTCTACCCTGGGCCACATAATGAGACTGTCTGAAAGAAAGAAAGAGAAGGGGGCGGGTGTAACAATATGATTTTGCTAGCAATGCATCTTTTAATGTGGTCCATAGGCACTTAAGAACTCTCAAACCCTTTTTAAAGAAATGAGAATTTTCATATCAAGGTAACAATAATGTCTCTACTTCACCGTGTATAAGAATAGAAAAAGCTTACTAGTCAGGAACTAAGAGAGCCCAAGTTCATGCCTGGGTCCTCTATTAGCATGTGGCCATTGAGCTTTAGTTTATTCTCCCAAAAACTGAGACCATTCCCCACCACTTTCTTTTTTTCCTTCTGGTACTGGGTATTGAACCCAGGGCCTTCCCACTGATTTACATCCTCAATCTTTTTATGAGACAGAGACTCAATAAGTCACTAAGTTGCCCAGGTTGGGCCTGAACTTGCAAGTCTCCTGCCTCAGCCTCTCAGAGTGCTAGAATTACAGGTGTGCGCTCCTATTCCTGGCTTCCACTAGTTTTTTAAATTCTCCTTGGAATTAAGGAGGACCCAACACTGGCACTGTTACCAGTAAAGAAAAGCTGGATTTAGGTAACAAACTTCCACCATGAGTGCAGCCACCTGCTTCTCGGTATGAACCAGCCTTGCTAGTCTGTGTCTAATCCCGGACTTCACATTCATTCCGGAGATTGCCGACACAGAATTGCCTCCTCACATAAAATCCCCATGCCCTGGACTGTGTGCTATAGGGATGTTAAGAGGGGCAGGAAAGAGCCCACTGAAGACACCGGAAATGGAAATGCACACATTCCAGCCCCCAGTGCCTGCTCCTGAGCCTCAGCAGCCCTTACCAATGGTCGTCTCACAGAACTTGTCTGCAGCCACCTCGCTGGCAATGTTGGCACCCATAAGTACACTGATGTCAATGCCCATCTTCTCACGGATGATGTCCGAAATGAGTTTCAGCCCCTCCGGGCCCTCGTCAATACCCTAAGGATGGCAGAAAGTTAGGAGGGAAACCACCACACCGAAGAGGCATGACATAGTTGCTTTACCCGTAGTCCAGATTCAGCTATCCAATGGCATTCACAGCTCAAAAAGTACTCTTACTTGCAAGAGAAAACATATACTGTACATGCAATGTATAAAGAACAATAAAATGAAAAACCTAAAAATACCAACGACTCAGGTTAAGAAATAGAGTATAATCAATATCCAGGATCAAAGAAGGAGGCGAGGAAGGAGGAGGAGGAAGAGGAGGAGGAGAAGAGCTGGTGGTAGTGGTAGGACACGGCCGAAATCCTGGAAGGCCCCCTGTCATTCCCCAAGGGCATCCTTCTCCTTCCCCGCTCCCCTCTCCCAGATGGAACCTCTGTCCTACATGCAGTAGGCACTGTCACCCCCTCACTTTATTCATCACTTTACCTCATGTCATTAACTGTCCCTGAACAATGTCCTGTCACTATGCCTACCAACAGAATTATGCATTCATCTGTGATATGCTGTTTTATGCTATGTTGTTATTCTAGAGAAACACCCGTGTAACTTTCTGGTTAATTTCTGTTTGCTGTTACATAGTTTTCCAAGAATAGTCAGTCCGCCATTCACCAATCCACTCTGGTGCTGGGTGACATTTGGGTTGTTCTAGTTTGCTTTCACAAACATTCAACCATGGCCACTCTGGAACAGTCTCTAGGGCTCCATAGCTTGTTTAGGACATGTACTCCACCCCTAGCAATGTGGTGAACTTAAGCTTCATGAACTCCCTTTCAGAATTTCATGTGCATAAAACAAAATATGTAATATTATCTAGAAAGCCAATCATATTCAAACAGTTATCAATATTAAAAATCTCAATGGGTGATAAAGTAATCACACAGTTTTATTCACGCACTTAGAAATTCAGATTCGTGGCGCATCTAATGATTACTATAATTTGCAAGTATTAATGAACGTGAATGGCTCTTGAGCGATCCGAAACCGCTATAATGGGAAATGAAGGGTCCTGTGCCCTCAACTGACAAAGAAAGGGTCACGGGTCTTGCTAATATTACTGTCACTGAAACTCCAGCTGTAGCTAATGTTCAAAAATGAAAGAAATGCCCATTTCAGTTGGAGGTTAAAAGGAATAAAAATGCAAAGGTCACCCCTCTCCTCAATGATTAAGTGCATGAAACCCTGGAGGAGGTTTGAGGACTTCTGGTTTTAAAAACCCTGCACTTGAATGTTACCCCCAGGAGTGCGGATTAGTGGTGGTTCACTTCCCCGATGATGCAAAGCACTAGTAATTTCCAGAGAGAGGCCAAGCCCCGCTGACTGGACTACAGCGTTCTGACAGCAGCCCATCAGCGAGCCTCCCCATAACACTGGGACGCTGGCTGCTGCAAAAGGGAGCACTTTGACTGCTAAATTGACCTAAGTTAGGCTTGTGGGATACTGTTTTGTTTTTTTACTACTTTCTAGGCATCTTTCAAAACACAAACAAAATAGCTGGGCATGGTGGTACATTCCTATAATCCCAGCACTCTGGGAGGGTGAGGCAGAAGGATCACAAGTTCAAACCCAGCCTGAGCAACTTAGCAATATCCTGTCTCAAAATAAAAAAATAAAAAAAGCTGCTGATGTAGCTCAGTAAAGAGGTTCCAGGATCAATCCCTGGTACTAGGGGAAAAAAAACACCTACAAACAGAAAACTGCCACCACCTCCTCCCTAGTGCCATGTATCAAACTGATGAAAGACAGAGAATGAAATCTGAATAATCAATGCTTAGTGATGTGTGTCATGCCTGTTCTGCACAGGAGGTACCTTGATGAGGGTGATTCCCAGTGCCTTCTTGGGTACCCTGCCGGTGATCTCATCGCAGATTCGGTGAATGAACTGGTGGGGGATGACGAACACCAGCAGGTCTGCATCCTGCACGGCCTCGCTGAGGTTAGGGATGGCAACCTGCAACCAAGGGAAGAGAAAAGAGTTACTCCTATGTCTATGGGGACTTATTTCATCCCCCATCACCTTAGGAAAGGAGGAGGACTGCTGTAATTAGGTGACCCATCCGAGTCCCTCCTCTCCAGGAAAAACCCCTCTAAATTTCTTTTCAAAAGCTATCACTTATTAACCATACAACTTGGGTCTCATTTCAGGGATGGTCCTTAACTTGTTGAAACCAATGGGCTCATCAAACAAAGAGAGCTCTCATGAAGAAACCAGCAGATGCTTCCTGAGACTTCTGGGTTATAGATATTTCCTTCCTCTTCTGCGGTGGCTCTGGGTCTTTTTCTTAAACAGTGTGGGATGTGGAGTTTGGAGCTACTGCAACCCCTTTAGAAATGTGCAGGGAGAACCTATGCCAAGAGGCTCCATGTGGATGAAGCCAACATCATGGAAAGCAGAGCAAAAAACAGGGATGTGTCAGAATCACTTAAGCCAATGTACATGAAACTAGACCTACCTGGACTTCTTAATTATATGAACCCAAACATTAGCTTAGCTGGTTTGAACAGCAACATACATAGTCATTCCACACACTGCAGACCACAACCTAAAGCCTGGCATTTCAACCTCTTTATTCACAAACCCCAAGGCAGGGAAAGCCTGGTTTCTCCTTTAGAGGGTTGGTCAGATTGGTTGTCTAAGCTGAGTAGCCACTGTGGATAAATACTGGCTAACATGATAACATTATTACCAATGTTAGAGTTGAGAATATGACAACCCCAAATGAAGGTCTCCGAATCAACCTCAAAATCTCTCCCTGACCTTCTCTTACTCTCCTTTCACCCCTCCTTTCCCCACCCCCATGCTGAGTTGTTATGGTTTGTTCTGGATGTCCTCCCAAAGCCTCATGCAGTCATGGGGTATGCTTCTAGAGTTTATGATTGATTCATGGGTATGAGTGCTACATCCGCCCTGGGGAGAATAGTTTGTATATGTAAGGGAGAGAAAGAGGCTGCTTGCCACCACTCCTCCCTTTTGCTCTTGCTGCTTTTGCTATCTTCCGCAGCCATGAACAGTTGCCCTCTGCCACGTGCCACCCTGCCTTGGAGCCAAAAGGGTATGGACTGAAACCTTCACAGACTGTGAGCTAAATAAAACTTTCCTTCCTTAATTCTGGTTGTCAGGTGTTTCCTTTCAGCAATGAGAGAAAAGTAACTAAGACATGAGTCCAGCACAGCTCTTGAAATTCCAGAGGGAGGATGGTGGAGGATGAAGAAATGAAGACAGGAGTCAAGATGCAGAAAGCTGAGGTCAGGTGGAGCCCCTTCTCCCGATGGAAGAAAGGACTGCCCAAAGACTGTAGGGCTTTATTTCCACCACCAGCATAAAAGGCTGTTTATAGAGAATTTTAAGGGGAGGGTAAGATCCAGAACAGGAAGAATATCTAATCTTCAGCAAAACATCATGCCTTGGTGGTTACACAGTGAATATGAGAAGAGTTGTCTATATTATCTCAGGGGAAAGTCAAGTCACTTTGTGGGTCAGCTTCCTGAGCTGTGTACACTTCTCACCTGGCCCTACCAAACTCATGAGAAGCAGTGACCTTGTCCTAGATACCTGAGGTACAGACAGCTTTGACCCCACAACACTCGCACCCCCAGGTCAGCCAGAGAAACTGAAATTCCTCTTCCCCAAGTCCCAGCTACTCAAGAGGTGGAGGTAGGAGGATCTCTCACACCTAACAATTCTGAGCAATATCAGAGATCCTTTCTTTAAAAAACAAACAAACAAAAAAGAGCCAGAAAATAAAACCTCTTTCCCAAGGCAAATTATAGACATTGGAATACCCTTTCCCCCAAAGCCAGTCATAAGACCTAAAAATGTTAGTCTAACTTTCCCCCACCTTTCTGTCTCAGATGGCCATAAATGAATTCCCTACATCTACACTGTCTGGAAGTATGTCTCTTATAGTTTATATCTAGATGTCTCTTCAAAGCTGCAAGAGGTCATAGGTGATACGTTTCAGAGGTGACTGGATTTAGGGTGTGAACATGGATTAAGGATGTGATACTGGGATTAACGGCGTATGGCACTGGTTTATTAGAGTTCTGGGTGTGGGTAATGGGAAGCCTCACCCTGGGTGTGGATGGCACCACCTAAAACGCATGCAGCCTGGATGAAATAAAAGGGAAAGGGAGACTTGCTGCGTGCCACCTCCTGCCTGCCATGCCATGAACTATTTCTCCTCTGTGATGCTCCTCTGCCAGCCCACCCTGCCTTGGAATCAGCTGATTATGGACTGACTCTTCTACAAATTGTAAGCCAAGGGGACTGGGGATTTAGCTCAGTGGCAAAAGCACCTGCCTGGCAAGCGCAAGGTCGTGAGTTCGGTTCCCGGTACCGGAGAAAAACCAAAACCAAAAAAAATAATAATAATAATAATAATAAACAAATTGTAAGCCAAAATAAACCTTTCCTCCTTCAACTGGGTGTCAGGTATTTTAACTCAGTAACAACGAAAGTAACTAAGACAATGTCTTAAGACTCCCATTCCAGAGGGAGTCCAGTTCCATGCCAAAAAGAAGGAATGCTACACAGAGAAGCTAAGAAGATTCTGACCACCCAGGCCTTGCTGGGTTCCCACCTCTCAATTTATTACCATTAGATCATACCTGTTTTGTCCGACCACACTCTTACATGGTTGTCCATGTCTTACTAAACCTAAGCATGAAAATGGAGTTTACTCCACATCTTTGGGTCTTCATTCTGAAGGCTTCAAAATCATATAGGCTGAAGACCAAATAAAACTGTTACGCTTTTCTCTTGTTAATCTGTCTGTTGCTGTGGGGGTGTTGGCCAAGACCCTTGGGGTTGGAAGAAAAGGGATCACCTCTTCTGCTTGTGTCAGTTATGCTGGATTGTCCACTTGATTGGCATGAAAGCCACCTAGGGGATGAGTAAAGCACACTCTGGGTGTGTCCACAGGAGAGTGACCTTGGGGCCTCTACTGTATGTACTTCCTGGTGCCTTCCACTCAGGCACTGTTCCCATGCTCTGCTCTCTGCCTCCGTGAGTGAGCAGCTTTGCTCCAATCCACCCTTCTGCTGTGATGTTCCTTCCTTGGAGCCAGCCAACCCTGAAGTGAACCTCTGAAATTGTGAGCCAAATAATCTCTCCTCCTTTAAGTTGTGGGTGCTGGGTATTCTGACCCAATAACTGGCAAGCTGACCAATACACTGCCCTACACCAACAGTGTACTTCCTTTTATTAGTCCTCTGGCACCTGCAGTTTCTATCCTGCCACAAACAGTTATTTTTTCCCATTAACCTCCTGCCTGGTCCTCACTGGTGAAGCTCACTGCTCTCTCTCTTGCCCATGGTCCCCCTCATCCAGTGGCCTGTGTAAGGACTCTGATCCCTCATCTCCCAGGGAGTTGCTACCATTGCTTAGGTAGAGGTTTGTGCTTCCTACTCTGATTTTCATAGGGAGCCTGGCAGCTGGAACTTCAATTAAACCTCTCTATGTCTCTGGGCCTGCTTTTTCTTTTTTCCCAACTTACTCCCAACTAACATACTCACACACTCTTTCCTCCACTTCAAGGCATTTTCAACATGATGAAATGGAAATAACACCAGAACCAGAAAGAAACAATGTAGATGTGAAGGTATGAGTTCCACACCTGCAAGTGACCAGCTGTGACTTTTGTGTCCCCTTTGCAAGGTAGCTGTACTTACCTCAGTCATACTCTACATAAAATGAGGATAAGAATTCCCTTTCCTACCTACCTACTTCACAGCACACTTGCCAAATAAGTCAAATTATGGCAATGTTTTGAAACCACAAAGACTTTTACAAAGGAAAGAGATTACTCACCAGAAAAACTGACCTGCCTGCTATAAATCCTTAACTTTTAAGAAGTCAACTCGGGCCCATATCAGTTGTTAAAAGACTTTCTTAAAGAAGCTGCCAGCTGGTCAGATTTCCTTCTGTCTCTTGCATTTCCCTCTTCAATAAATCAAGGAAAAACTTCCAGGTAGAATAACCTTCAAGACAATATGTTCAACAGCGTGCAAAGATGTCCTTTTATTTCCCTTGGTGAAATGCTCAGGGCCAAACCTACAGAAGCAACTGTGTAGCTCAATTCGTGCTGCACTTGTATGGCACACACAGTGCATTCACAGAACATTATTTCTTTTACATGGTACCAGAACAAGTTCTCTTCAGCTAACAAAGTAAGCGGAATCTCATCTTTTAGATAAGACCTTTTGCTAAGCCTGTACCCTACTTTTCTGCTCTGAAAATCATCAAGACATTGCTTTGGAAATATAGATCAATTACGTGAGCTTCTTATCCAAAACCTTTCTGAGTATATCCATTTCTAAAGATCCAGAAATATGTCAAGAAACACAACAAAGATCAACAGAGCTTGCCTTACAGCACCAAGCAGGACAAATAAATTAGGGTTGTTTAATACTCAGACATTCAAGAGTTCAGTGCTCTGGATCCAAGTTAATAAAAACTTAACAATGAAAAAACATGACTAAAAACAAACTGATAAAATCTGTGGATAAGCCTGACAGTTCTTTTATGTCATCTGCATTAGCTACCACTGTGCAGAGCGTGTATTTAACAAGCTCCTACCTCAGCTGCAGTCATCAGAGCAGGCAAGAAGAAACCCTTCTTCCTATCCAACCTGACTTACCTCCTAACCCTACAGGAAGTCATTCTTTGGCATTGAAGGCCAAATGAAATTTAAAAGCCTTCTCCATTCATTTATAATTATAAACTGATGCACTGGATCAAATTTGGAAAAAACAAACAAAAAAATGCAGGTAGATAAACAACTTCTCATAATCCCAGAAGTAAAAACAATCACTCCTAATACTTTGATACATTTCTGTCCAGATTCTTCTGAGCCTGTAGAAATACCTAAAATTGTATTCACAGAACTAAAGTCATACTTTTATGTCTTTTAAAATATATAGTATTAAATTATTTTCCCTACTATTCAAATG